CCTAAACCTCGAGCTTGAATTTGTAAGTTACCTGATTGCTAAATGTAAAAGCTCCTCTTACGTGCTTGGGTGTAATCTCTGCAACATATACAGGAACCTACAAAATTTTCAACTGAAGACAATTAGGAATATCTAATATTGGTTAGGGCTAGAAATCTTATATCATCATTGAAAGAGAAAATTTTACCACGTAGCTAATGAGACCAACTCCAATTCCCACAAAAAATCGTCCCAAATCGAGCCAAATAATACTCTGTGCCAAAATAAAATTCAAAATAAGAATATTTATTTATTTATTTTTGGTTATGACGAAAGAGTATAAGATGGGTTATGGGGAAACCTTGGCTAGTGCAATAGCAAGCCAACCAGTTATGCAGAATAAATCAGCGAGCCATAACGTCTAAGCAAAATTGAAAGAAAACAAAAAGGTTTAGAATTTTACGTTATAATAGTTAGGGGCATATAATAGAATATTAAAAATATAGGGGTGATTTTAGGAACAATGAGTACTTAACCATTTTATTACCGAAGGCAGCTGCGGCTTTGGCGCTGACTATTGCACCGATCATTCCACCAAACGTCATAAGCGAACCAAACAGTGAAAACTGCAAAAATACTTTTAATTAATTTAGATTTAACTTGTTACATTTATTTAAAATAATATGAATACTACTGTAGACTACTATGAATACACATAGTTGTAGTCAATTTTTCTAAGAAATTAGCAATTAAGTTTTTTCTTGCATTTCAGTATTTTTTTTCCATCTAACTAGTTTCCTAATGGACTTACTTGTGCGAGAGAAAGATCCAAGTCTGTCATAATGGATGACATTGTATCTGCGGTATAGCCCCCCTGTGTACCATAAAATGATAGAAAAAATCAAGTTAAATACATGAACTTATAATCAGAATTTATATTTCTTTTTTCTTTGTCAAGCTCTGAGTTTGAACTCAAATGCGGCGCATCGGACAATACTAGCATAAAGCATTCGGCTATATGTTCTGACCAGTTTCACAACATATAATTCTAACACAAAATATAATAGTTTAGATAGTTTCATAAATATAAACTGTGGCCACATTTATATCAATAATATGGTTCTGAACTTTTGAATGGTATAAATTTGGCCGTTATGACAAAAGTTCTTTCAGTTTGGAAGTTTATTAATGAGCAAAAACGATAGGGAGAAGGCAACACAAGTACATAACGTAACGGTAGAAGATAACATGATATTGACACAAACCCACAAAAAAAATATAGGTGTCGCATTTAATTTACAGCCAAATTTTGTTTGTTCGTATTATATATTAGCCACACACTCCTTTTTTTTTATAAAAAAAAAAATCATTAAACTTAAATATCATTAAACAAAGTTAAAATTCAACATTGTCTCTTCTCCTATATATAGAACACAAGTAAAAAGAATCCAAGAATTCGAGACTCAGATTTATATAACCAAATTTCATGGAAAAAAACTGTTTAAAAAAATAATTTGGTTAACTGTATGACTTCGGGACACTAAACTTTTTTTTTTTTTTGAACAGAAGACCATGACTTGGTCAATGTGACTGC